GTAAACCAACCCCGCGCCTTTGATGGTGGGTTGCACGTAATCATTTTAATTCTACACACCTGTAAGTTTGACTTCATAGTAAAGTACCAGTGTTGGAGGGTCGAACTTAACACCGCATTTGCGAGGTGCGAACATCTCAAACTTATATTAACTCATCTGAACCCCTTCACATTTCTTTTGTTTGTCTCTTGGTTGTCGCTTAGGTCTCTGCTGTCTTTGCCGTTTTGGCACAACCGAGCCAGCGAATTATAAATCAGCAGACATGTAAAACAACCTGAGATCGCGCATGCAATTTTGAGCTATTCGTCTGTCCATTGCCCTTGAATGCAGGCGCGTACTCGATTTTTGTTCGAGGGGTTGTGTGAGAAACTTCCGGTCAGAAATAAACAAGACAAGTTCAGGCAAGAATTCCGCAAAACCAACGCAATTTCTTTGATCAGCAATAAAACAAGACTATGTATTTGTAAGCTTGCATGCTATAGACATAAGAAATACTTTGCCAAGGTAACGAGCGTAGATTTGAACAACACATTAATTTGCTGGCGTCAGGCTGGTTCGATCTTTCAGACCCAGAATTCCTGTCACGCAATATTGTTGTGAGCAAGATTCAAAGGAGTTTGTTGCATTTCGGAAGAATGGCTTCAAAGAGACCAAAATTTTCGCGCGCTGGCACGATGCAGCAAACAGCTGAGGTGGGTGAAAAATCTTGTTTCGAATCCACGAAATCTGATCGATTTTGAAAAACTGTTTTATGTAGCAGATCTGTGAAGACCTGTTGCAAGCTTCGACTTTGAATCTTACTTTGACGCGTGTTTTTTTCGCGCGTTTGCTTTCACGACAGACCAGGTTTTTACGTTGCCGAAGTATGTTACTCTTATTGAAATCAGCGTTCGCGTTAGTCAAGCTCTACTATACTTCCCCGATGCCGATAAAAATCTACATTAGAGTAGACTTACGTACTCGTACACGCTGTGACCTCGTAGTCGTTAGTCCCTGTGGTCACTGAGAATAGACTTCAGCGATCGTGTGTGCGAACTGGCTTTTATTTATTTTATTTTATTTTTCTAATCGGGAGGAGGGAAGGGGAAGGAGCATAGGTTAAGGCCTGGGTCGAGACAGAGTAGAGAGAAACTGTCGATTGTGAGCTTGTCACTGCAGCTGTTGTGCGCCAGCTTGTAATAGGCTTCGTTTCGTTTGCGTATTCGTGCGTTGATTCTTAGGAGCAGAAGTAATCGACCAAATAATTGCAAGTATGGATAATATCAGGTCGTTTAGTTCTTTTAAAGAGTGATTATGCAACAATGAGGGAGCAAAGGAGGTTCCTGATCCCGTTTCGCGCACAAATTTTGGAAAATTTACGCGTCACGTGCAATTTAACCAGTATAGAGGTTTTGCACAGCAGACATTTTGGATGGCAGGAACAATGAAAATATTTTGCATAAGAAAGATTTTTTTTTCCCATGGGTAAAATAATCTATTGTTCCTGACATCCAACATGGCTGCTGTGCAAAACCTCTATTTCACGCGTGACGAATTTAAGAGTGATAACTTCAAATGTCACCTCACCTTGTCTTAGCCGTCTTTAAAATTCACCCATCACGAATAAATTTTGGGATAAATCACGCGTCAAACCCCTGTATAACCTTTTGCCACTACATCGTTAGCTCAATCTTAAAATTATTCGTTTATTTTTCTTCGTTGTTAGGAGGGCGTCGAGTTCTTGGAAAGGCATGGCATTGAAAGTCCACTAGCAGAGTTTGAACATGGTATTCAAGTTAATGATCATAAAAAGCAAGCGGACCTGGGTAATGACACTGAAACTACTCCGACACGGCTCAAGAGACAATCAACAATGGCTGAGACAGCTAAGGTAAAAACACAGAGATGTGCTCGACGCTCGCTTTCTTAGGACTGATGATAAAAGCGGTAGGGGAAGGAAGATCAAAAAAATTTATACGTGTGTTCAAAAGTATCCCTAGAAGTATCTTGCCAGTTGAAACAAAAATCTAGAAATTTAGTTTGCGGCTGGTAAGTCTTTTTTTTTTTTTTTTTTTTTTTTAATGTTTTAGGAAGGAGCAGAATTTCTCCAGAGAGAAGGATACACTTCAGACTCTCCCGATGGGTCCCTGTCCAGTCCATTAGAAGAAGAGCATGAGACCCCAAAGGTGAAACGCGCCTCGACTATGGAAGTCACGGCAAAGGTATGTTTCCTGAATGAATCGTGTGACAACTAAAGCAAGTAGCGTTACAACGATAAGAGCTTGAATATGAGGGAAAGTGAAGGAAATAACGTTCACCCTTATAAGTTTCGATAATAAATGGCAGGAAATGTGATGATGTTAAGTTTTTGTTACTCAGCCAATTCGAAAGTTTTTTGTGGTTGGTTGGCGCGTGACACACCGTTATCGGGGCTTGACGTCACGAACAAACGTTGCATCCCGCAATCATATGTAAACTTGACTGAAATGTGACTCAAGTTAACTGCCGTAGGAAAACTTGCGCGGAGTTTAAGGAAAATTGAGTCACCCTCCGCTGTTCTCTGGAAATTCATGAAACTAACTTCTATTTTGAGACGAGAAGGGTGCGTGACATGTCATGTAAAGGAAAAGGAGCGAAGGAGATTACGGAAAATTTACCCAACGAGTTTTCAACTGCACGTTGGTAAGAAGTTATTTTGTAAAAGAAGCTTATATACGATTTGTCATGAAGAATTGCGCCTAGCAAGGAAAGCTTCCCAGCGTTAAATGAGACTTTAGCTCGCATCTTTGAAGACGTGTAGGGTCGTTAACTGTACTATGGTTTCTAAACGAGCATATATCATAATTTTTTCCAGGAAGGTGCTGAATTCTTATCAAGAATGGAAGACGAAAAGAAGAAGACCGTTAGGTTTAAAAGCCATGTTCCCAAGCTTCAGCGTGACTCCACTATTGACCTCACCGCTAAGGTAACTCCCTTATTGAATCACTGTAAAACTACCTTCAGCTTAAAGGAAAGATGTAAAAATGTTGATCGAGTCAGCAATTGAACCAAGTGACTCATTTGGTCGAAGCGTATCGAAGTGTCCCTGGCATGAAGCGACTAAGGTTTTTGCTACTCCCTTCTGGATAATAAGCAATTCCCTCACAGGTTACTCTCAAGCATTTCGTCAGACTTCCCTTACAGTTCACCAGGACCCATTTAGACTCCTGTCTTACCGAACAACCCACTGTTACCCGACCAGGTCTCAAAATCGAACCTCTCGACCTTAAGTACAGCGCAGTTCTTACCGTGTTATTTATTTTAGTAAAAGGAGAATTGGAATTTACCTATTTTTTTAATGTCGGGGGGGGGGGGGGGAAGAGATAATGGGACTTTGGTCTCTGGGACTGGGAATCACAAAACGCATCATTGAGCTTTAAGCAGGGCGATTCAGACAAGCTTTTGGGTGGAAAAGGCCTCTTTTACAGGAGTTTCGTGAAGATAAAGAGGATTAAAACGCAATGCAAAGAACGAATTGATAAGTAACAGATCTTAACTGCTATGGTTTTCTATCATTAACCTGTAGCTCTATCACTTAATGTAATCTTGATTACCAACATAATTTGTCTGTGACTTTGGCTTTAGTAGTCTTTTGTCCCTCTGATATCGTGTTAAGGAAGGTGAGGAGTTTTTAAAACGGACAGGGGGAATAAAAGAAAATGAGCCAGAAGAAGATTCAGTAGACACACCATCTCGTCCCAAGCTACAACGAGACTCAACAATCGATGTAACAGTTAAGGTGAGCCCTCGTTCTTACTGGAATAATTATGGGCAATTTTTAATGACTGATCCATGATGAGGGCGTAGCCAGAGGGGGGTCTCGGAGCACCCATGTCTTCCCCTTTGTAAGCCTTTTTTGTCATATTGAGTAAAACACGGCGTGAGGTCGACATGACAATCTTGTGAGTACCCCCTATTACGCGTGACACATTGTGAGCCCCTCCTTTAAAAAATCCTGGCTACGCCCTTGCAGTAATGCTTGACTTACCCAGCCGTGTGTGGTCGATCTATCATCCCGCCTGCGAAAGTATAGGGCTTTAGTCGATGGTAGATGCCGCAGGAAACTCTGGTGATGTTTAGGGGAAGGAGAAAGGCCCTCCTATGAATTTTTGGCGAGGATGGGATCTGATTCATTGTATGGTTCAATCTGGAACTGACATTCGATAACACTGTGTCTAAGTATAGTTAGTTGTTGTTAGTGTCAGTGAGCAAAGTTTCGAACACTTGCACTTGTGCTTGTAGACTTTTGTAACTGTTCTACTGTCGCTTAGTTTGTCGAAACTTCAGTCATCGCCACCGTTTACGGTCTTTTTTAAGTTTACTCTCAGCCGGGAGATCACTTCGATCGATCGATTTCCGCCTGATTCTTTAAATCCTGAGCCACTCTAAGATCAAATACGTCACTGTCTAACCGTGATTTGAAAATATTGTGCTCTTGTTGAACTTATCGCCTCTGTCTCTCCTTTTGTCAAATGTGAAATCTTTCCTTGAAAATTAAAGTTTTTATTTTGTGACAATTCTGAGGTGTCAGGTTTTGGATAAGGAAGCCTTTCGTGAAAAAAAGAGTGACATAGCAACCATTTAGACTGCGAAAGGAAACTTGTGAAGGCAACGCTGCCACTTCTTAACACTTTGCGCAGAAGGTAAGTCTTTATCAAATAAAAATCTGTTTACTGTTGAACAGGAAGGAGAGGAATTCATACGACGATCCGGGGCCATGTTAGAGGAAAAAGGTGACGACATATCCAGCGGTAAACACGATGAGGATGACGACGATACGGGAGTCCGGGATGACGAAAATGATAATGGGGGCGTTCCTTCACTTGTGCGTGACTCGACCATGAAAGAGACAGCCAAGGTGAGGAATACCGCTAAGCAATTGATCGACCTTAATAAATAATAGAATATGAATAAAAGATACTAAATAAATAAATAATAAATAATAAATGATAATGGGGGCGTTCCTTCACTTGTGCGTGACTCGACCATGAAAGAGACAGCCAAGGTGAGGAATACCGCTAAGCAATTGATCGACCTTAATAAATAATAGAATATGAATAAAAGATGGACAGTATACTCTTTTAGACATTTAATTAATTGATATCATCCATAGGAAGTCTTATTCTTAGGAAGCGAAGAATATTTAATAAGGCTATTTACAGAAGTGGTGGATATTTACCGAGCCGCGAAGCTAAGCGACAAGGACGCTGAGTTGAATAGCTGTTTTAATCAATTTTACTCATTTATTCATACAACGATTACAATATTTTCGGGTGCAAATCCCATGCGAGTTGCTCGGAGAAAAATAGCAAAGTATATTCGGAGTTTAAGTAGCCAATCTGAGCGCGCCTTTAACGCCATTCATTGTCATACTATAGTGTATATTAAAAACACTGGTGCCACACTTCAACCTCGCCTTCCTTCCTATTGATCTACCCACCCACCTGCATAAGCCCTTATCTGGAGACACCTATCTACATTAAGAAGACAAGGAGTTAGTTTTAAATAGACTCTGTCTTTCCAAAAACGACTATCAAAGGGGGTATCTTAGCAAACAAATTTCTGATTGAATTGAATCCCTTAAAACGCGCACAAACAATCATACTAACTACAAAGGTCAGAATATCCGTCGATGACTCATGAAACGTGACTTAGCTTCTTTATTATATTTTAGATCGGCGAACAATTTGTGGGCGAAGAGGGACGCGCTGAATCACGGTCCCAAACAGCAGTTCTTCGTGAAGCCGAGCGAGAGTCTGGGACGACCAAACCTCCCCTGAAGAGAGCTGGGACTATGGATGTCACGAAAGCGGTAATTTCTTATTAAAAAGGCGAACTACAAGCATTCTTTGGGACGAAAAGTGACGCAGCTAAAGCTAGAATTAAAAGAGAGAGAGAGAGAGAGAGAGAGGGAGAGAGGGAGAGAGAGAGAGAGCGAGAGAGAGAACGAGAGAGAGAGAGAGAGAGAAAGAGAACGAGAGAGAGAGAGAGAACGTGCTTGCAATAAACCTTTACCGCGCCGATTTCGCCAGATTTTAGTTTCTCCCCTTTCAACGAGTTATCTTTATAATGGCCGGGCTGAATACATTACAAAATAACTAAAAATGCAAATGAAAAAACGAAAGCGGAACTGGGAGAACAAATCCTTAGATCTTATTGTTAACCCTCCCCTCTTGCTGCTACACATCTCATTGTTTTTTAGTTACGAGAATCTGGTGTTAGATCAAGGTAACAACTTTTTCCGGATAAGTTTGAGTCAAAACATTACAATGTAACAAATTTCCCCCGTCCAGCTTCGTTTTAGTGCGCCACGTAATCCAAGGTGGCACTGTGTGACAAGGATATATTCTCATTACCTGTTTGCTGAACAATGTATGGATATAACAGGGAGAAGTTCTATGTTAATCATTTGTAGGAGTTAAAGGGTTTAAAGTTTATATGAATTTCTTCCATTTCAGGAAGGTGAAGAATTTTTGAAACGCAAGAGGACATAAGGTGATCTTACTGTGCCCAATTACAAATATTAAATCACTTTCCAAGATATCACCTAGGCAAAACAGGACATTCAAACAGAAGGTTTCTGTAATCCTCATTAACTGATTAAACGACGAATTGAGGTTATTCGTTCTCTTTGTTGGAAAAAAAATAATTTGGTAGTCATGTGTGCTGATTCCTCTTCCCTTGTTATTGTGAACAAGTTGTAAGTAGTACTAAAATCTACAAGAGAAGTAACAAACTGAGCAATTTCAGGTTTGTTCTAGAGATAAGGGTGAAAAGGAAGTGTACAAATAGATATCTGAAAGACAAAGGCGGGAAACACTTTAAAATTTCAGCTGAGGTCTTTTAAACGCCTCTCCAGCAGCAATGTTTTGAATTTTTTAATGGGCAGGTGTTTCAGCCGACAAAAGATATTTTTCCGTGTAGTTGAGTGAATGGTTCAGCGGGGTCGAGGGTCAAACTATTTCCATCCTGTTTCATGTTTGCTCCTCGTTTATCACGAATGGTCTCCTCTTGCAGCAAAGCCACTATTGTGTTACTTTTAGTTAGGAAACAAGGTTCTCCATTACATTTAACATATCTGGCTGGAGTTTTATGAACTCTAATGTGCAGCAAGACATATCTTAGTGTGATAGCTTCATTGCGTGACAAGTGAACATAAAATTATGTTCAACTCAATAAATGTCATAAATAACACAAGTGAATAACATGCTATTGTACCTCCTCAAATTTAACTTTATTTACGAATATTCAACATTATATTTGATTCCCGGCCAGACATGTGCCATAAAATATTGTAGAAAACCGGAACGCATTCCGATCTAGAAATCTAGAAATCATTAATGACCATTAATGCAAAATGAGGCCTTTTTGTCTAAGTCAGTCAACAAACACAAATCAAAAGAAGTAAGAAAAGAGGAAGTTATTCCAGGGATTGTTCGAGGAAGGGTCTTTTATCAGTAAAACAAAGAGGAGAGATAGGCGTTGACCACGAACAGGAAATAAACCCTCCACGCTGACTAAAAATGCGATANAAATGAGACAGGAAGCCAATGCAGCTGACGGAGCACCGGTGTTATGTGGCAAAATTTGCCCTGCATAACAACAAGTCTGGCGGCTGCGTTCTGAACTCTCTGCAGTTTGACAAAATGGCACTTGGGCACACCGTATAATAGATTATTACAGTAGTCTATTCGGCTACTAATAAAGGAGTGAATAAGAGTCGCAGCTGAGTCCATTGAAAGGTGTTTCCTTATACGTCTAATATTGTGTAGGTGATAGAAAGCAGCACTGCATAGAATCCTTGCCTGAAGTAGCTGATTAAAGCATAACTTAAAGATTGCACAAAGTCTGTTAAAAATGCCAACACATATACGTGTAATCTTTATTCATTACTCAATTTATGTCTAAGGAACTACCTTTATTAAATACGAGATCTGTTTTTGTACCTGTAGCAAATCCAAATAACAGTGCCACAGTGTCATATTGTGCTCCCAACTTGAGGAAAATTAAAAACACATCCAACGTTGAAATTCGCACGAAGAACTCTCAGATAAAATTGGGTATAACTTGATAGACCTTAGAAGGCGAACGAAAGGATGCACTTAGTCGATTAGCTTTTACCATTTTTTGATCTTGACTTGTCGGCCAAGTAAATCTTTTTCCGCTTTGTCATCAAGAAACAAATAACAAGAAATAGAGCGCTTCGCTTCTTTGAGCGCATTTTCCGCTCAGATGCAGACTTTTCAGTGGTGAATTATGGACGTTCTGAAAAATCATTTGGTGGAATAGACCATTTTTCTATTTACATTTCAACTATTTGAAGTGGTCCTTTTTTTTATTTTCCAATGGAAATTTTGGTTTTTGTTCTTTCAATGGTAAAAACGAAGTTATCGTAAAAAAGATGAAGTAACTGAAAAAAAAAGAAACGATATAAACTCTTAAGAAGTTAATGAGTGGAGAGCAGTTGGATGAATCCGTCTGTTTAGCAATATTCACTCTTTCGCTTCCTGAACATCGCCTCTTTGGGAAGCTGGTTTGACTCTATCTACTGAATCGGTCGAGGAACAATTTGAGCCACGGCTTTTCTTCTGAGTTTTTGAGTCGCAAGCATTTCCCTGTACCACTACCCAAGGATCAAGTGGACTCCCTGTGGAAATACGAGGGTACTTTTCCTTAAAGGCTTCGTACGGCATGATGTAGTGCCATTTATCGACGCTTTTCCATTCGTCAACTCTGTATCCTGACAAAAGTGACAAATGACAAGTTATCAACAACTCCAGTCAAATTGCTATGCGATTTCAACTTTCTAGAAGTTTAAAAAAAAGCTCTGTACATACGGCGCAGAGCCACCTTAATTCTTATAGCTGTAAGGGTGGCTCTGACCCGTATGTACTATTTAATGATAAAGAGGGAACCCCTTTTTTTTTGTCATAGAAAAAATGATAACAACCTATGAAACAATATTTAAGAATTTTTTAAAACAATATTTCTCAGGAAACAAACGGAATAATAATAATAAAAAAAAGACTTTACTCTTCATTAAAGATTTTATGTTTCGAAATTCGAAAAGCATTTTGAACCATCTTTAATCCAGGTTACACCAGGAGATAATTTTGTTCGTCTGACATAAATAGTTTTTTAATACCACGGTATTTGTCTCTGTGACAAGATTTTGTTTACCGAGAAGGGCATGCCCAGAGAGCTTTAAAATGAATAAAGATGAAGACCTTCAATAAAGTATTAAGAGGAGTGAATGGTACTTTTAGCTTCAGAGAAGTCAAACGGAATTGTTGGTTGTGGTTTTCCTTGCTAGTCACTCCGAATAGCTTTAACAACAAATTAGCCAGCTATGCCTCTCGTGAAAAAAAGGGAGACCCGCAATTTTACAAATCAGGCATTCGTTCAAGATCACTGTTCCCTTACCTTCAAACATTTCCTCTACTGTTTTCCTTCCTATTGTTTCGGGAATTCCATCTTCATAAAGGGTAACTTTTTCATGATCTTTTTTGCCGTGTTTATTCACTCTCGGATCATTGTCGAGGTCAGGCTCTTTACCAGGACCTCCCATTCGTTCTGTAAACGGCTTCCCCGCGTTCATACATTCTTTAAACGTCTTCTGTGCGCTTAGCGCCTCTCTTCTTTCAAAAAAATAAAGATCTGAAAAAGAAAATTAACTGCATCAGTTGTCTTGAAAATAGAACCTGTCAATTTTTTTTTTTTTTTACAGTGGGGCAACTTACTTTCCATGAGAAGATTGTCTTTAAGGTAATAACGCCTGCAGATTATCATCACAGTTCCAAGAGCAACAAGCGTGACTAATATGACCCATGCCAATAAATGTGATTGGCTCTTACACTCGTCCACCATCCGCTTCCGGTCCAAAACGTCCTTTTCATGTTGCATCATTTCTTTCCGTGGATGTGGCCCAATCGTGGCGCATAAGTAAAAATCTTCATCCAAAAAGGCAACAATCAACCACACCGCCGGTCCGACACAGGCTTTTAAGATGCTCGGTAAAACCCTAGCTTTTAATTCACCTCGTCTCCTGTAACGCTTCACGTACATCCGGGACGACAGATTCCATACATCGCCGATGACCAAGAGATTTACGCAGAACAGGATAAAAACAGGGCCGAATAAGAACGCGAATCCATACTTTCGATAGCCGTTGTCAGGACAGTGGAATACTCCTGCGTTCAACAGTCTTTCCAGACCGTAGGTCGAAGCAGCGACGAAGACGTTTCTAAGAGTTATGGAATTGTCTTGAAGCACTGGGTTGAATGTCCTTTTAAGACTTTCGAACTTCAATTTTCTCTTTAAAAAATGCAGAGGACCTTTGCCACTCTGTGGAAGGTTTTCTTTCTTCTGTTTACTTCCTCCTTCGCTTCCTCCAGCTTCTACATCCTTTGAAGTTTCTAGTTTGCCTTCTTCCAGAGTGTTTACAGCAGCCATAAATTGATTTTATCGTACCCAATCTTGAGATTTCCTTAGCAAAATACTGAGTTGATAACGTTCAAACCCTTTAAATCCGACCGATATTGTTATCTGGCGTATTTCGTATCATATATATCCGCTTCGATCCTCAAGCATTTTTCACGTGATTTTTCCGGCTTTCAGTTTCTACGAAGCTTTACTTAAGGGATTAAACGATAATGTACCCCTTTGTCAGTTGATCTTAATATGTAAACCATATCCGACGATTTGACCTTTCAGTTTTACTCACCAATCTTTTAAATTTTTAAAAGTTCATTTGAATTTCTTCCTTTTCAGGAGGGTGAAGAATTTTTGATGATCTTACTGTGCCCAATCTAAAATTATTTGATATTATGCAATTATTGGATGAGGTTAAGCATGATATTGTGGCTGATTATCAAGACCGAGGACTGAGTTATCTGCTGAAGCCGAAGGCTGAGATAGAAAACGCAGACACGAGGTTTCGATAATTCACAATATCATGCGAAAACCGAATTCAATAATTGTTGTCTTGAACATTTCGCAAAAAAAAAAAGTTGCAAGAAGACACACCTTATTTGCACACATATCGAGCGCTTTTTGTCACCTCTGTGAAAGAAGAGACTTTTATTTCGCCGTTTTAAATCAACACACTTTGCTAAAAATACTTTGTTCGCCTCGGAAAATTCTTTGTCTTTGGATAATGTCAATTCCCTTATTTTGAAATGCCTGTTGAGTCCAAAAGTAATAAGACTTGGAACTTTTCGAGTACGGCTACCATAACTTTTTTGAGCCTCGGCGTAAACTTCTTCAGAACACTAGCCAAAGCGGTTTACAAAGTAAAATTTTGGTTTGCTTCATAAATAATTCGAGTGAATAAAATACTACAGGCTCTTCTCAAATTCAACTTTTTTACAAATATTCTACACTAGAGTTTAAAATTCGTCACGAAACAACTATCAGCGAGAGAGCATTAGTTCAAGGTCTTTTACAGTTGACGGTCTCCAAAAAACCGAACCATTCGTTTAACGAGATGAAAAAAAAAAAAATTGAGAGTGATTATCATCGGGCTATTAATACAAAAGACGGTAAATGGTGAAATGAAAAAAGCAAAATTATCGTAAACTGATTGGGTACACAACTTGAAAGCCTAAAAACCGGAACCGTGACATTCCCATCTGGAGTTAATTCTGTTTGACATAAAGTAAACAAAGAAGAATCAAGAGCAGTAAGAAACAGGAACTCATAGCAGGGATAGCGTTAGGTACGGCTTTTTGTTAGAGAAAAGAAGAGTGAGTAAAGATTAACTATACACTTAAACAGAGAAAAAATAACTAGGGTAAGACAGGTTATACACTTATACAAACGTGCGGGCTACGAGAAATTTGCATTTTATGAAGAATTTTTGAAACACTTCTAATTTTACTGAATATTAAAGTAGAAGATTAAAGCATAGCTTACGGATTGAACATAGTCTGTAAAAAACTACTTACAGATATGCACGTTATCTTCATTCAATACGATACTTATTGGAACTACTTTGTCGTTAGCTATCTATATCTAAGGAACTTCCTTCATAAAATACGAGACATGTTTTTCTACTTGTACCAAAACCTAATAGCAAGGCCATACAATGTCATACTGTTCCCCCAACTTGAGGTTAAGAAAAAACCAACAGTGAAATTTTCTCGTAGAACTCCCACACCTGAAAGCGTTCAAATTTATCCGAAAAATCGTATCTGCTGCAGGTAAGATTGGGTATAACTTAATTCACCCTGGAAGGTGAACGAGAAGGGTGCTCATTTATCGATTAATATTAGCCTCTACCATCTTTTGATCTTAGCTCGTCAGCCAAGTAAACCTTTTTCAGCTTTTACATTAAGAAAGAAGCAACAAGAAAATTTGGGTGTTTCAGTTTGGGCGCATTTTCCGCCTAGTTTCAGATTTTTCGGAGTCATTTTTTGAATTATCATTTGTTTGAATATACAATTTTCCTATTTACATTGCAACTGAAGTGGTTGTTTTTTACTTTCCGATGGAAATTTTGGGTTTTGTTTCTTTTTTTTGACGGAAAAAATAAATAAATTACTGTAAAAGTAGTGGAAAAACTTTAAAACAATTCGATGTAAATTCGTAATATGTTAATAAGTGGAGACCAGTTAGATGAATCTATCTGTGAAGTAATATTTACAACTCTGTTTCCTGAACATCCCCTCTTTGAGAAGTTGGTGTGACTCCATCTACTGAACTGGTCGAGAAACAATTTAAGCCACGGCTTTTCTTTTGGGTTTTTGAGTCTCGAACATTTCCCTGTACCACTACCCAAGGATCATGGGGACTCCCTGTGGAGATGCGAGGGTACTTCTCCTTAAAGGCTTCGTAAGGCTGTACGTAGTGCCATTCCCTGCTGCTTTTCCATTCGTAATCTGAGAGAAGTGACAAATGACAAGTTGTCAACAAACGTTTGTGCAACAGTGAAACCATTCATGGTCTATTGAAGAGCAATAGCAACGTTGTAGTATTCGTGTGTGCCATACAAAAACAGGTTTTCAGTCTTCTCAGATCTACCTTCCGGTGTGAAAAAGGAGTCCTACTGTGATTTTTAACTTCACCGTAATGTTAAGTGACACCTTTCAGCAAAGTTTTAAAAGAAATCTACGTATATGGCTCAAGCCACTTTAATCTTCGTAAAAGTTAATGACTCATATGTACAACTTAATGACAAAAAGGACCACATTATTTGTCAAAAATTAAAAAATATAACTAAGGTGGCAAAAACCTCAAAATTTTTACTTTTTTAAGAAGCCTTCTTACAAAATGCAACCCATACACCTTTAATCTAGACCTCAAGAAAAATTTAGCCATGTACTTGTTTGCCAATTATGTTGTTATGGTGACCAGTGACCAGGGCTTAACCTCTTGTGCGTGTCTTCATTATAACATCCTCAGTAACTCTTGAACTCCATTCAGTAAAGATTTTATCTTTGAAAATTCGGAAAGCAATTTGAACCACCTTTAGGTTCGGGTATACTGGGAGATAATTTGGTTCGTCAGACAAGAACAGAGGGTTTTAAAATAAATGAAGTAAAAAAGGTGACTGCTACTTTCAGCTTCAGAGATATCAAACGGGAAAGTATGCCAACACAATTTGGTTTTCCCTGCTAGTCACTTCAAATAGCTTTAATAGCAAGTTAGCCAGCTATGCCTCTCGGGAAAAACAAGCAATTTAAGGCATTTTGTTTAAAAGTAGATTATTCCCTCACCTTCAAACATTTTCTCCACTGTTTTCCTTCCTATCGCTTCGGGAATTCCATCTTTATAATAAGTAACTTTTTCGTAACCTTTTTTGCCGTATTTAGCCACTTTTGGACCATCTTCGAGGTCAGCATCCTTGCCAGGACCTCCCATGCGTTCTTCAAACACCTTCTCCGCGGTCATACGCTCTGTAAACGTCTTCTCCGCGCTCAGCGCCTCTCTTCTTTCATAAGAAAAGAGATCTAAGAAGAGAACGAACTATATCAGTTGTCTTGAAAATAGAGCCTGTCATTCAGTTTACATAGGAGCAACTTACTTTCCATGAGAAGATTGTCTTTAAGGTAACAACGCTTCCAGATTATCATCACAGTTCCAAGAGCAACAAGCGTGACTAATATGACCCATGCCAATAAATGTGATTGGCTCTTACACTCGTCCTCCTTCTGCTTCCGGTCCAAAATGTCCTTATCTTTCCGTGGATGTGGCCCAATCGTGGCGCATAAATAATAGTCCTCTTCCAGAAAGGCAACAATCAACCACACCGCCGGTCCGACACAGGCTTTTAAGATGCTCGGTAAAACCCTAGCTTTTAATTCACCTCGTCTTCTGTAACGCTTCACGTGCATCCGGGACGACAGCTTCCATACCTCGCCGATGACCAAGAGGTTTACGCAGAACAGGATAAAAACAGGGCCGAATAAGAACGCGAATCCATACTTACGATAGCCGTTCTCAGGACAGTGGAATACTCCGGCGTTCAAAAGTCTTTCCAGACCGTAGGTCGAAGCAGCGACGACGACGTTTCTAAGAGTTATGGAATTGTCTTGAATCACTGGGTTGAATGTCCTTTTAAGACTTTTGCCTAGTTTCGAGAGATCAAGGCCGCTTGGCGATTGGTTTTCTCTCTTCTGTCCACTTCCTCCTTCGCTTACCGCAGCTTCTACATCTTTTGTAGTTCCTTCTTCCTGAGTGTTTACAGCAGCCATGAAGTAATTTATCATAGCCAATTTCAAGATATCCTTAGCAAAATAATAAGCCGAAAGACGAGACGTTCGAACTCTTTAAGTACGACCGCTATTGTGATCTGCCGTATTTTATTTATTCTATACCTGCTTCGATCATCTCGCCTTTTTCACGTGATTTTTCTTTCAGTTTCTAAGATGTTTTATTTCGGGAAAGGAAGATAATGACACCCTTTTTTGTATTTTGATTTTATAGTGTAATCCATATCCGACGATTTGACCCGCTTTCAGTTTTACTCGCAAATCCTGTCAAAAATAATCCATCACAATATTAAAACGAAACATACTCCACTTTTTCACTGCGTCGTAACAATAAACACGGATATTCAATATTGCACGTAGAACAAAGAGGTTTCCTCTATTTTTCTGCGTTTTGTTTACTTTTTAGCGATTCAGTAACAATTGTGATCCGATTCCCCGTCAAAACCGTCGTATGATTTGGACGTAATCTTGGCGTGTCAGAGCTCATTAGTAAGTGCTAATTTAAGAGTCCTGACCCTTGGACGTCTTAGTTTTTTCCTTGCGTTTATTTGCATAAGCAAGCGGAGTTCTCACAACTTCCGCCTTGAATCAAAACGCAGATTTTTAGCAACGGAACTAAAGGCACAGAAAACGGATGCTTTCTTTGTCATTTATAGACTTAAAGATTGATTAGATCGATCACATTTATAGAGACGTCCTTTTTTTCCATGTGACGCAGAACCTGGATATTCACAAATAACCAGCGATATGTTTTTTGATTACTTTTAAAATATGCGTTACGGTCAATAATTTTTTTCTATAGGACATTTTGCTTTATTGGTATTAATTTATTGATCACTTAAAATTGTTTCAGCGATATTGCTTTCCTTTCAGTCGGTTGTGTTGATTACACTCAGATACTCAGATGCTTTGGTAATTTTTAAAAACTTGGAGATCGAAATTTTGAGAGAACAGTCTAAGGAAACCCTTCGAATCTATTGACGTTTGATTCTTAAAAGCGTGACGTAGAATTTCAAATTAAACAAATTTCAGGTTGAGTTTCGAAACGTGACAATCTAAAAGCGAAGAAATTACATTTGATACACCGTTGCAGATAAAAAAAGATTTGAATTTTTATATTTTCGTATTTACTGCCAGCGTCAAATTCGTTTTTAATGCCGCGTCGCAATTTTTAGAGATAGTTTTCAAGTTTAATTTTTTAAATGTCGTGTCAGAATTTTTTTTTTTTAACTTTTTCTTTTGGAATATTCAGTGCGTTAGGGAAGTTTTCTTTAGAAAACAGCATAAAACCGTAGAAACGTAAAAGGCCAAAATATTCCTTGGGTTACTAAATAGCTTTATGTAGTACAGGAACTCCGTAAAAGACTATTTTGTACATGATAGTGTAGGGGTATACTCCTTCTGCTGACGAGCTAGATCATTTACGGATAAAGATGACAAATATTTCAAACATTAATATCCTTGTTTAGCAAAGGTAAATGGTGTGAACCGACAGAGCTGAATAACGTATACGCATGCGCTGGGTTTTGCCGCTGAAACACGGATTTTGAGTCGTTCGCATGGTTGATTTCCTATTCTGTTGCTTCGAGGCGTCGTTTTCTTTGCCGCTTTTCTTTTACAGAACAACCTCCAAAAATTTGGTACAC